TGGTACACAGACACACGTGTAGGCAAAAACACACACATACATACAAAACAAAATAAAGTTTTTGAAATGGCACTGCAATGCACAAAGTATTGAGACCCCACGGGTCTCAATAATGCTTACTAATCTTCCTACTAGGTAGCACAGGCATGGTGCAGGACATCAACTCTTACCTTAATGTGCTTGCTACCTGGTTGGCTAATGGTGCACACACTGCTTGATTTAGGGTTGTCATCCCAACAGACCCATCACGAATTAGAAGTACTTTAAATCAAAAATGGAGCTAAGGCCCCTAGTATATGGAAAGTTTGAATACAGCAACACTGTAGGCTTGTTTGTGTGACTTGCTTCTCCTCTGATCATATGGCTAACTGGGATCCTCATAGCATCAAGGGAGAGGGCCAGCACGCACCCTTCTAGCCAATCGCTTGGCCCTGTTGTTTGGGCCTGTGGTAGCATGGCTGAAGCTCAAAATGAAGTTGTGTGCTGCATAAGGTCAGAAAGAGAAAGGGGAGGAGTGGTGTCCCAGGATTCCCCCAATGACCTATCTTACCTCCACTAGGTCTCACCTCCTAAAGGTTCCAGCCACTCCCAGTTGCACCAAAAGCTGATGACCAAGCCTTTCATACAGGTCCTTTGAAGGAATGCTTAAAATCCAAACCATGCTGGGCCGTGATGGTGCATGCCTTTAATCCCAGCACTCGGGAAGCAGAGGCAGGTGGATTTCTGTGAGTTCGAGGCTAGCCTAGGCTACAGAGTGAGTTCCAGGACAGGCTCCAAAACTACACAGAGAAACCCTTGTCTCGAAAAACTAAAATCCAGACCACAGCAATAGCCAATATGTACTGCTCTTACAGATTTATACATTATACATTTATACATTATTATAAAATAAAATCCAAAAGTCACACCACAAAAAGCAGAGGCCAGCTGTATAATAGTCTAAAGAGAAGGTTAGTGGATTAATTGAATCCACAGAGGAAATGAGTATGTAAGGAGAAAGCTTAAAGCATTTCAAGGCTAGTAGGAAACTTAAGGTGGAAGAATAGACCAGGAACATGGCCCACAAAGGAAGTGCTCAGCCCCGGGTGAGCTGGGGACGTTTGAGGGTTTAGGACAGGGCATGACAATGGGCTGAAGTGTTTCTGGAGGAGAAGAGAGGACATGCCTGGAAGGTTATGCTAGGGCAAATCATGGGATACCAGACAGGGCATCTGAGATCCTGACTCCTACCCAAGACAACCCTGGAGAGATTTGGCAACAGGGGTGCTGGTGAGCCTTGTGATGCTATGGGACGACACGCAGGAAGACTCATGAGGAAGCTGTTGTGTCATGGGGCTGAGAACGCAGCTTGATTAAGGCAGAGGCAACACAAACACCAAAAGAAAGAGAGGTTGGACGAGACACAATGACCACTGGAATCATGTGTAAGGGCTCCTGTGTGGGGCCAGTGAAGACATGGCTGGGCCTTACTTGCATTTGGAGATTCCTGAGGCAGACAGTCAAGGAGGTGAGGAATTAAAAGTTAACCAGTGGGGGGCTGGGAAGATGACTCAAGGGATGTCACAGTGAGCTTCAGTTGTAGACTTGACATACCTGGGAACCTTCACTGGGGATTTGCCTCTATCTGATTGGACTGTAGGCACATCTGTGGGGTATTTTCTTGAGGGCCAGTTGTTGTAGGAGGGCTCAGCCCACTGAGCAATGAAACAAACTATAAGCAGTGTTTCTCTACAGTCTCTGCTTCAGTTCCTGCCTCCAGGTTCCTGCCTTGAGTTCCTGCCAAGGCTTCCCTGGATGATGGACTGTAACCTGTGAGCCATATAAACCCCATTCTTTTCCAAGTTGATTTCAGTCAGTGTTGCAGCAGAGCAACAGAAAGCAGACTAGAACAGTGGGGCAAACATTTGTCATGCCCTCATGAGCACCTGAGTTTGGATCCCTGAACCTGCATAAAGATGAAGTAGCAGCATACATGTGAATCCCAGCACTCCCACAGTGAGCTGGTGGTGGAGACAGACACACTCACCTGAGCTCTCCCAATACCCAAAGGTAAATTGTCCCAGGAAGAAAGCATTTTACTTTTGAAAGAAACATTACATCTGTGTGTCCTCTGAAAAAATATTGAAATTGGTGTTGTCACGTGCTGGCCTGGGGAGAACCGAAGGTGCCATTCTTGCCACAACCTGGGGGATAATGTAACACAGAAAGTAATTTGGAGATAATCAATTTTCAAGTAGCACTCTGGTGTCTTTCTTTCACACTCCAAAGCTAACACCTCCCACTTGATTGTGGTAGTGAAGGAAGTAATTTCCTGAGAGCAGACAGCTGCCACCAAACAGTACAGGCTGATTCAGATGAGCGTGGGTCCACAGAAACTCATGTTCATGACATATCAGTCTAGCATAGAGGTAAGCGGGACAGGGACACCCCCAGCCTGTCCCTATGGACAAGCGCTCAGCATCTCACTCGTCTCAACTTCCTTGCCTCTAAAATGAAGTGAATACAGTACTGGCCCAATAGTTTCAGTAAGAGTACCAAATAAATCAATCCAGGTCAATTATGTTAACTCCTCCTGGACCACTAGAGTAGAAGCATCCAGAAGGCAAAGATGTTGTTTTGCATGCTAACCTGGTGGAGCAGATTCTCTGTCACCGGGCTGGATAGAAAACTGTTCTACCCCATGCGTGCTGACAACAGATGGTGACTGAGAAGTCACGTTTTCCTTAGTGCTTCCTAGTATGCAGGTGCTGTTAGAGTGAGTTCATAGACTGATCCTGAGTCACTCATGAATAGCTACACTAAGCCCATGAACCCGCCCTGTCAGGAGGCTTCCTCCCATCGACCTTATTGCATCTGTGGAATTATTTTACAGTTGTGTGTGTATTTTCCACTATAAAAACATAACGAGGCTTCTGGGTAGGAGGGTAGATAGGTGTGTCTTCTCTGAGATCCTTGAACATATCTATAACAGATATCTTGAGTTCATTTTCTTGGATGTCATCTCACTTGTCTTCCTAGGGAATGGTATTACTCAAGGAATACTAATGTTTGGAGGAGACACACTGTCTTGGGTTGTGTGTGTGTGTGTGTGTGTGTGTGTGTGTGTGTGTGTGTGTGTGTGTGACTTGTGTTTTTTGCTATGGGACTTGGGTGTCTAGAGCTGGGGTGTTGCTTGGTGTTAGGTCCAAAGGAAACTCCAATCCCTCCAACTCTAAAAGGCAGTCCATGCATCCAGAAATGAGCTCAACCTGGATTGTAGGAGAATTTCTGGGGGTTAGGTAAAAGCCAGTATCCCTCAGGAACTTGTGACACCAGTTCCTGTCTGCTAAAAGGCGTAATTTCCCTCACCTCTGGCCGGAGGGACAAGTGGCCCCATTGACATACACCTGTAGCTGCATACCAAAGCCCATGGGGCCTCCAGGCTCCCTCAGTCCCTACTCAGAAGTACTTGTTACATGTTTGAAAGCCTAGTAACCTGGCCCTCCTCACTTCCCCGACTTCCCTTCTCTGAGGTACCCATTTGTAGCTAGAGTTTTCCTGCCTGGCCCACAGTCAGGACAAATCTCTCTCACCCGCCAGTCCCACAGCCCTTCAGACCCAACCAAGTAAACACACAGAGACTTATATTGCTTACAAACTGTATGGACATGGCAGGCTTCTTGCTAACTGTTCTTACATCTTAAATTAACCCATTTCTATTAATCTATAAGTTGCCACGTGGCTCGTGGCTTACTGGTATCTTAACATGTTGTTTCTCATCACAGTGGCTGGCAGCATCTCTCTGCCTCAGCCTTCCACTTCCCAGAATTCTCTTCTCTGCTTGTCCCGCCTATACTTCCTGCCTGGCTACTGGCCAATCAGCATTTTATTTATACAGAGCGATATCCACAGCACCCATTTGTTCTCTCTACAGCAGCTAGGCTTTCCCCTAACCCAGCTATTCTCGTTATTGACTCTTTTACCTTAACTTACTTATTCTCTCTCTTATTCTCTTACTCCATCCTGATGAGCCAGGGCCCTCTAGAGAAAAAGAACTTATAGGGGATTTATCAGAATGACTTACAGGCTGTGGTCCAGCTAATCCCATGACAGCTGCCTATAAATGGGAGGTCCAAGAACCCAGTAGTTTTTCAGTTCATGAGACTGGATGTCTCATCTGATCTTCAGTGTACACTGAAATCTGGAAGAAGTAGATTCTAATGCCAGTGAAGGATAGGACTTGCTAGCAAGAGTGAAAGCAAGCAGGCAAAGAGCAAAAGCTTCCTTCTTCCATGTCCTTACATAGTCTTCCAGCAGAACATGTGGTAAAGATTAAAGGTGGATCTTTCCACCTCGAAGATTGAGATTAGAAACGGGTTTTCCCACTCCAAATGATTTAATTAAGAAAAAAAATCCCACACAGGTATGTCCAATCATTTGGGGCTTAGTTAATTCCAGATGTAGTCAAGGTGACAACCAAGAACAGCCATCACAAGTTGATTCCTTGTCAACTTGACATACAATCAAATCTCCTTATGTCATGATTAATTTCCAAATGAAGCCAGGTGGTGGTGGTGCACACCTTTAATCCCAGCACTCAGGAGACCAAGGCAGAAGGATCTCTGTGAGTTCGAGGCCAGCCTGGCCTATAGAACAAGTTCCAAGACCCTGTATCAAAAAACAAACAAACAAAAATCTAAATGAAAACAATAGCCATGTCATAATTTCACCTCACATGATATAACTATTCCATGTACAATCATACCTGCTATGCTCTATTCTCTGTCTCTTGCTATCTCCACTATCCTCTCCCACTTTCCTGGTTCCCTAGCCCTGGCCATGTCCAGTCTATTTCTGCTTCTTTCTGCTCTGGACCCTTCCAGATGCCTCTGGCTGCTTTCTTGCTCATATCTACAATAAAAACTTTAACCATATCATGGAGTGGTCATGTTGGTAGTTTTTTTAGTTTTTTTTTTTTTTTTTTTTTTTACTGTGCCCCCTCACATACAGTTGGATGTAGCTAGAGTTTTTCTGCCTGGCCCACAGTCAGGGCAAATCTCTCTCACCCGCCAGTCCCAAGCCGCTCAAACCCGATCAAGTAAACACAGAGACTTATTTTGGTTACAAACTGTATGGCCGTGGCAGGCTTCTTGCTAACTGTTCTTACAGCTTAAATTAATCCATTTCTATTAATCTATACCTTGCCACGTGGCTTGTGGCTTACCGGTACTTTACATCTTCCTTGTCCTGATGGCGGCTGGCAGTGTCTCCCCTCCAGCTTCCTGTTCTCTCAATTTTCCTCTGTTAGTCCCGCCTATACTTCCTGCCTGGCCACGGGCCAATCAGTGATTTATTCATTGACCAATCAGCAACACATTTGACATACAGACCATCCCACAGCACCTCCCCTTTTCTTTTCTTAAAAAGGAAGGTTTTAACCTTTATACATCTCCAAAGTCAGCTTGGTATATTTGGGAATTTGGGCGTAGTTTCTCTTACTACTTCCTGCTGGAGGGGGGCGCTGTATCTTCTGGGGAAACAAAGAAAATTTTAGGATCATGGAGTAGTCCGTGAGGCTGTATCATCTGAGCCAGTTGTCTTGAAACGGTTCTGGATGTTGGATCATCTGGGCCATGGTGTCATCGGAGACCTTTCAGGGGGTCTTGGCTGGTCAAACCTGATGTATCTTACTCTGGAACAAATCCATAGCCTCTGGCTTTCTGTGGAAACAAAAGCAGAATCTCCTTTCCAAAGCAACATATCCTTATATCCAAATTTTGAAGTCAAGGTACCTTTAAAATACGCATATTGGTTTAACTCAGCTTCCTTTACAATCAAATATCTCTCTGTAGTTAAGAATCCCAAAGACAACACAATCCAGATTCTCTGTGTAATATTCATCTTTCCGTGGCTTATTTTTTATATTAATTTTACTGTCTCTTTAAAGACTTTATTTTTTAAAACTATGTATTTGTTTTTATACTGTATATATCACCTTTTTTTGTCTCTTTTAAGCCTACATATATTTTACACACATTTTAAACTATTACATCTGAATCTGTCTTATTGTGAATCTGTTGCTTTAAGCTGCAGCAGCTGTGGCTGCTGGCTCCACCCACCTCAGCTTCCCAACATGGCGGCGGTATGCTTACCGCCAGCTCTGGGAGCCATTGTGTGTCTATGCTTTTATCCAAGCAGCGTGTAGCCCAGAAACCTTTTTTTTTTTTGTTTTGTACTAGTAAAGGCTAAATCCACAATGCAGCTTAATGTGCCACTTGCAGAGGCCTCATTCCCGCCATATGGTGGGTCGAGCATGCACGCACGCTAGGAACCCGCCAGTAGCTCAAACCGGCAGCTGCCGCTCATTTGAGAGAGACAATTAGGAACTGTTTTTAGCTCCATTTTAGAATCTTTTTTTGTCAGGTTTTAGGTGGAAACTCTTGCCACCACGTTGGATGCCATTTGTAGCTAGAGTTTTTCTGCCTGGCCCACAGTCAGGGCAAATCTCTCTCACCCGCCAGTCCCAAGCCGCTCAAACCCGATCAAGTAAACACAGAGACTTATTTTGGTTACAAACTGTATGGCCGTGGCAGGCTTCTTGCTAACTGTTCTTACAGCTTAAATTAATCCATTTCTATTAATCTATACCTTGCCACGTGGCTTGTGGCTTACCGGTACTTTACATCTTCCTTGTCCTGATGGCGGCTGGCAGTGTCTCCCCTCCAGCTTCCTGTTCTCTCAATTTTCCTCTGTTAGTCCCGCCTATACTTCCTGCCTGGCCACGGGCCAATCAGTGATTTATTCATTGACCAATCAGCAACACATTTGACATACAGACCATCCCACAGCAGTTGGATCTCTCCAACTCAACAGTTTAGGATCAATGGGATGGTGCTCAAGGCAGTCCTGGAGTGATTATGTGTTGATGTGTGATTTGGGTACCAAAAATGGTTCCACCTGAGCTAGAACTAGATGCAGCTTCTGAATACAGGAAGGAACCCTCCACAGAACTAGCAGGGTCTTGCTGTAGGACACTCACATGGCTCCAAGCTCAGACCTTTAGATAGTTGTGACATGGGTTTTGGGGACTGAGGGGTATGGAGTGTGGGGATCTAGGGGTGCTAGTTATGGAAGGTACACATAGTCCTGTACACATTCTTCAGATGGTAGTAGCTCAGGGTCACAACAACCACCTGATTTCTGACAGAGATGCTAAAAATCCATTGGAGAAAAGACAGAATCTTCAGCAAGTGCTGGGGAAAACGGACATCAGCACATGAGAGGATGAAACTGGATCCTTGTCTCTCATCGGCACAAAACTCAACTCCAAGTGGATCAAGTAGCCCAACACAGGCCCTGAATCTGTGGGAGGAAAAAGTAGAGCGTACACTTCAATTTACAAGCTCTGGAAAGGACTCCAGTAGGACAGGAAACAAGACCAGCAATCAACAAAAATGAGTCAGTATGAAACTAAAACGCTTCTATACAGCAAAGAGAACCATCACTCAGGTAAAGAGGCAGCCTACAGAATGGGGAAAAAAACTTTGCCATCTACTCATGTGTCTTAGTTAGGGTTTCTATTGCTGTGAAGAGACACCATGACCACGGCAACTCTTATAAAGGAAAACATTTCACGGAGGTGGTGGTTTACAGTTTCTGAGGTTTAGTCCGTTATCATCATGGCAGGGAGCATGGCAGCTGGGAGTATTGAGCAAAGAGACGTGTTGCTGCCGAAGGAGCTGAGGGTTCTACATCTACAAAGGCAACAGGAAGTAAACGGAGGTACTGGGCGTGACTTGAGCATATATGAGACTGCAAAGCCCACTTCCACAGTGACACACTTCCTCCCACAAGGCCACACCTCCTAATAGTGCTACTCCCTTTGGGGGCCATTTTCTTTCAAATCACCACAACATGTGACAAAAGGTTAGTGTCTGTAATATACAAAGAACAACACCAAAAAAAAAAAAAAAAGAAAGAAAGGCTGAAAAACTAAACACCAATTAAACATCCCAATTAAAGATTGGGGCATGCCAGGCGGTGGTGGTACACGTCTTTAATCCCAGCACTCGGGAGGCAGAGGCAGGCAGATCTCTGTGAGTTCGAGGCCAGCCTGGTCTACAAAGTGAGATCCAGGAAAGGCGCAAAGCTACACAGAGAAACCCTGTCTTCAAAAAACCAAACAAACAAATTGTTTGGGGTTGGGGATTTAACTCAGTGGTAGAGCACTTGCCTAGCAAGCACAAGGCCCTGGGTTCAGTCCTCAGCTCCAAAAAAAGAAAAAGATTGGGGCAGAGGACTGAATAGAGGTCTCAAAAGAAGATATATAAAAGGCTGATGATCATTTTTAAAGTGTTTGATATCCTTAGCTATCAGAGAAACACAAATTAAAACTACTTTGAGATTTCATCTTACCCCAGTCAGAATGACTAAGATGAAGGAAGCAAATGCTGGCGAGGCTGTGGGGAAAGAGGAGCCCGTAGTCACTGTGGGTGCCATGCAAACTGGTACAACTACTGTGCACATCAGTACGGGGTCCCCCAAAAGCTAGAAATAGATCTATCACGTGACTCAGCGATACCACTCTTGGGTGTATATCAAAGGATGTATTTCCTACTGTAAAGCTCCTCCATGTTTATTGCTGCTCACTTCAAACTAGCCAGAAATGGAAACAGCCTAGACATCCAGTCAACTGTTGAATGTGAAGAACCAAAGCACCTCCATTTTAAGCAAGCCCCTAACCCCAGTTTGAAACAGACCTGAGTTTTGAATTCTCAGAACTGCTGATAGCAAGTTAACCAACTGGTAGTGACATGTTAACCATGGAATGTCCCAACCCGCGGGTAGCCAATGAGAAATGCTGACAACCAACCACCCACCTAGCAGTAAGATGAAGATAAGGTTTCTGGAAAGTCCCTAGAAGCGAGCCAATCAGAATTGTACCCTTCTAGCACCCCTAACTGATGTAACCTTGTGGTCTTTGCCTTGAAAAACTGAGCTTGCAGAGGGTTGGGCACCTCCTCCAGCCTCCACTGTGTTGGATGGCTTGACAGGGGTCCCTGCCTAGGCTTGTATTAAAGTCTTGCTTTTGCATTCCAGTAAGCTCATCTTTGGTGGATCTGGGCACAACAGAATGCATAAGAAAAATATAGCGTATATACACAACAGAATTTTATTCAACTGAAAAAAATGATTCTGTGAAATTTGCAGGTAAGTGGATAGAACTGGTAAAAATAAACAAACAAAACAACAACAACAACAACAAACTCCACAATCATTCAGCGGGAGATAACACAGAAAGACAAATACTATGTGTTCTTTCTCATACTTGTATCTTAGCTTCGAACCTTTAGATTTCTGTGTTTATATTGAAGTACCTATAGAAACTAGAAAGAGGCTGAATTGGGGGAGGGTTTAAGGGAGGGAGAATAGTAAAACACAGGTATTATGAAGGGGGAATGTAATAATAGGGGAAGAGGGTAAGTGGGGGTGGGAACGGGAGACTAGGTCAGTCTTCTGGGGTGCAGGAGGCATAAACAAAACTAAAGATGTTCAAAATCATCCGTGGAAACCTACTGGAAGCTTCCGTTGTGGGGAGAGAGGTGGCACAGACACCCTGCAGCTGGAGTTGGAGGCTGCTGTGAGTCACCTGATCGTTGTGGAATATTACTTTATGTAAAAATGTTTTACAGTTGTTTGTGCTACATTTGTTTATGTAAAGATGTGTTGCCGTTTCACCTTGCCTGCCTAAGGCCCCTGATTGGTCTAATAAAGAGCTGAGTGGCCAATAGCTAGGCAGAAGAGGGATAGGCAGGGCTGGCGGAAGAGAGAGTAAGTAGGAGGAATCTAGGCTCAAGAGAAGAAGAAGAGAAAAAGGGAGGAAGAGAGGGACAGCCCAGGGCCAGAAGCCAGGCAGCTGCCAACCAGACATGGAGGAAACAGGACAGTAAGATACACAGAATGACAGAAAGGTAAAAAGCCCAAAGACAAAACGTAGATAAAGAGAAACAGATTTAACAAGAGCTAAGAAAAAGCTGAGCCTTCATAACTAATAAAAAGTCTCCATGTCATGATTTGGGAGCTGGTTGGTGGCCCAAAAGGAAGTATGCTATACCTGATGTGGGTGCTAAGAACAGAACTTGTGTCTTCTCGACAGTAGCAAGCAGTTTTAGTCGCTGAGTCACCTCTCCAGCCCATTTTAATGACTGTCATTGCCATGAACTGACCTACAGGCCAGCAGGGCACTGTGCCTCTCCTGTAGACATGCTAATGATCTGGTGATTTACTTTTATTGCCCTGTACAACAGGCTCAATCTCCCCGGGGGTCAAAGAGCAAGAGGCTTTTTCTGTCTCTCTGAGTGGAAAAGGCTGTGCTACCAAGAATCTCTTATGAGACATGCTTTGTCATCCTTAGAGGATTCCTTCTCTGTATGGTCAAGTAAATAAATGCCATGCTTTTTTGGCTGAGGCCCAGATTCAGCCACAAGTTTTTGGGGGTGTTTTGTTTTGTTTTTTGTCTTTTCCTGTAGGAATAGGAAACTCACACATACACTGCGTAGGGCCCTCAATACTGTTCCCCTTGTTAGGAATGGATCTGCGATCTCCTCCAAAAATGACCACACAGTACAGAATATCTCAGCAAAGTTTTACTTCTGCAGAAAGGCCCAAAGTTGCACAGAATCTGGCAAGCAGGGGCTGGAGAGGTGGCTCAGCAGCTCAGAGCACTAGCTGTAAGGATTATGTCCTTAATTACGTCACCAGCCTGCGATGGCGTCCCAGCCTAAAAAGCAGGTGTGCCCTCTGTGCCCTCTCTTTCTGCTCTCTCCTTCCGTATTCTCCCCACTCCACACGTATTCTCTCTCTCTCTCTCTCCCTTTTCCTCCCAATAAAGCTCTAGAAAGGTAACCATGGCTCATGACTCGTCTGTCATCGATACATCCAGCACTCTTCTCCACTGGCATGGCCGCCACAGGTGGTGGCCAGCCACAAGCGCCGCCACTTAACCAACACTGGCTGCTCTTGCAGAGGACCTGGGTTCGGTCCCAGTACCCACACAGCAGCTCATAACCTTCTGTAACTCCAGTTCTAGGGGATCTGATGCCTCTTCTGACCTCTGCTGGCCTTGAATGCATGTGATGCACAGACATACAATCAAGGGCACACACATACACATAAAATAAAGTAAATAAATAAATACTTAAATCAGTCAGCAAGCATATCCAGCAGGAGTCCCACTGGGCTCAAGAGGTCCCATACCTCATTCTGACAGCCTCACACTCTTCCAGGATTGACTAATTCAAAACAGTCCAGTTGCTAGGGAGACTGAAGTTTGAGTTTATATTTTTGACTTCAGGAAAATGCTGAGTCAGGAGGGATTCTTGACAAACGGTAACTCCACAAACTTCTTTAAAGACAGAATTCCCTGTTGTATTTACCTTGACAGAGAAGACAGTGCATTTCATTTAGACTTCCCACACCTTTGTGGGTTTTTGTGTTGGCGGAGGGCATTGGATGCGCTTCACAGTCTCCAGTGCTAACCCATGCTCAGAGGGCTCTCAGGCACCTGCAGACACCTGAGAACCCTGAGCTGTCCCTTGGCTGGTCTCAGAGACCCCTCACAGTGCAGTCTGGTGTGGGAAATCTCCCTGCCCTTCACGGTTCCTGTTTTTCGATTCAGGAAGAAAGGCAGGGAGGAGATCCATCCCTCCGTGACCCCTGTGTGCTGGTCTGGGCTCTTCCTGTCTCTCCTCTGACCCTCTTGTCTAGGAGGTCGTGATCACTGGTTCTAACGAGGCCTCAACTGGCTCTATCCAGGTGACTTTCTTGCTGGGGGTTCTTCCCCGTCCAGGTGAGCTGCCACTCTGTGTCACTACACATGTCTCTCTGTGTCTTCATTTAAGACGCTGAAAAAGCAGCCTGGGACTAGCACATGGCTTCCAACCTCAACTTCTGCCCCCAGTGACATACCTCCAGCAAGGCCACACCTCCTCAATCTACCCAAGAAGTACCACCAAGGGGGCCACGTATTCAAGTGCCTGAGGCTATGGGGGGACATCTCATCCAAAGTGCCACAGATGTCTTCCAGAAACAGGCACATGTCAGCAGTGTGATAGGGGATGAGGTGAGGCTCCACTGATCCCTGATCTTCAGGGGAGAAGTACCCACAATTACCTTCATATCACATTTACTAACCCATTTATCTGCAGCCACTTCTCTAGGTTCCTATCTTCAGCTGTGACAAGATGTCCTCAGGAGCTGTGAACATCCACTTCTCCTGAGCAGTTGGAATGAGTCCTAACACAGGAAACTGAGCAGAGATGAATCAAAGGACTTTTTGAGAGTTCTCAGTGTCTTGAAGAGACACATGAAGTCATGATCCAATTTGCTGTGTCTTCTGAATGTATACTGTGGACATAAATTGGAATAGGTTAATTTGAGAATGAAAGTGGAGGCGCTGTCATACTCAGTGTGAATTGAGTAGGTACTAAGCTGTGCACATGTTTACACACGTACACACACACGATAAGTCCCTACTCTGTGTCATGCACCTATCGTATTATTTCATTTGGTCTCACAGGTCCTTGGTCACAATGTGGCCATATCTGCTTTAAAGATGAGAATATAGTCAATGAAATAATGACCCAGTGTCCTGCAGTTGGCCAGTGATTAAACTGGGAATTGATAGGTTTTTAGCGGTGCTCTTACCCCCAAGAAAAGGTCACAAAACATGACAGAATCCACTAACAAGAGTTTTATCAAGACAAGGAGAAAGGGATAGACGTGATCAGGCCTGTGGAAGAACATGTGCGAGAAAGAGAGTGGGGATGGAGCCCGCCTTATAAAGGCCAGGATGCACCTGCGCACACAGGTCCATGTGGCTATTCCACGCATGTGCATAGATCACGTGGTCATGTCCGCTTGATTACATGACCACGTAGCCATGGGGCATGGGTTACAAAGGACATATGACCCGGAAATGACTAGGCGGAGATGACTAAGTGTCCTGCCACCAGGCATGCATGACCATGAGGGCGTGGTTGGAATTTCTATCAGGAATGCAGTCAAGTCTTTTGTACCCAAGGCCCAAGGACTGCTGATGGAGTACCAGTGTGATGCACAGAGATTTGAGAAGGTGTGGTCCTTACGGTAACAGGTTGGACTGGAAAATTGAGTCCCTTCTGTCACCTGTGCTAACCTACCCCACATGACTTGTGGCGAGTCCTCTAAGGTTTGGGGTGCTCTGTGAAGCATATTTCATGGGGTATCCTATGTATGTGATTTTGTGGCACTAATTGCTAATTACATGATGGACTGAGTTCTGGAGAAGATGTTCCATTCAATCCAACAGCTCAGACATTTGCCACAAAAAGAGCAGGCTCTGCCCCTGATAGTGAATCCCCTTTAACCACATTATAGCAGAAACTGTTGGCTTCTTGACCTGGGACTGGACTAGCACATCCCAGTGTACCTGAAGGACGGTGATGCTGTTATTCTGGAATGGGGCAAATATCCTTCCCAGGAGAACACACACACACACACACACACATACACACACACACACACACACACACACACACACACACACACACACACACAAAGCCATGTCATTTCATTTTGCTGTTCTTTGCAGCCCGAAGCCCCCTCTCTCTAGACTCCACGCTTTTAAGATTCTTTTGCATCCAACAGCCACTACAGAACCGTGTTAGAGAGGAGATACAAGGTGATTGCTGGTCATATTATAGAGCCCTGCTGGGCAGACAGATGGGCTCTCTCATCTCCTGAGAGCCTGAAGTCTGGCCCAGGTAGGGGTCTGAGCTAGCCAACCAGCCTCTTGTCAGCCTTGAGGTGGTTGAGTCTAGAACTTGCATCTGCCTCCCAGTTGAAGAAAGCAAATAACATTCTGCATTTCTGGATACATTTTTAAGTGTTTATAAAGAAAAAAATAATAATGTTCTGTGATGGATACAGGTATGGAAACATGTGCAGCTTTGGTTTCCAACATGGTTCCATCAAGACCATCTAGCTTCCCTCAGCTTTGGGCAGGCACCCAGAAGAAGGGTTCTGTCTCCATAGTTCAATAAATTCTGCCACTTGTTACGTTACTGCCATATTACAGGGCTTTGAAGAGTGGGTTGAAATACACAGTATCTTTATAGACTGACAACCATAGTTTCACAAGCTATTGGAATTCAATATTAGCAATGACTTCTTGGACACAGGAAGTGCCTGAAATTGCCCTAAGGAAAAAAAAATAATGGTCAGTAATTTTTTTATTTTTTTATTCTTTCTTCTTATTGTTTGAATTTTTCAGACATGTGTATACTGTGTTTTGACCAAGTCCACCCTCCATTCCCTCTCCTCCAATTCCTGTCCTATTCCCACCACTATTCCCTCCCAATTTATGAAGTTTTTTAACCCACCAAACCCGTTTAGTGCTGTGTTGTGTAACAGCTTCCTCAGAGATTGAAACATTCCATTCTACAGGGAGGCTCCTTAAGCAGGAAGGTAAACAACTCAAAATAGCTTCAGGAAGTCCCTGAAACTGACCAGATTCACTAGGCTCCTCCTTACCAGAGTAAGCAATCAAAGCTGAGAGACCCTGTTAGGGGAACAGAACTGCAAAGTAGATTCTCAGACAATCAGAGCTGCAAAGAAAACTCTGAGACCCTGCCAGCTGCCTGGAAGAAGCAGAAACCAGCTGCACTGCCTAGAAGAGGTTGGAACCTGCTGAGCTACCTGCAGGCTGTGCTGTGTGCTCTAGGTTCCCAGCTTCATGGGCTGTCACCAATGTTGGAGTGGGCTTTGGTGATACAACCATCACTGAGACATTTCTGCTCCTGTAAGTGGCCCTCACCCATTTCCTTAGTCAGTGTCCTACTGCTGTGAATAGACTCCATGACCACAGAAACTCAAAGCATTTAATTTAGGCTTACTTACAGTTTCAGAAGTTTAGTCCATTATCATGATGGGGCACATGGAAGCATGGAGACACATGGTGCTGGAGAATTAACTGAGAGTTCTAGATTCGTAGGCAGCAGGAAGAGAGAGCCACTGGACCTGGCTTGGGCATTTGAAACCTCAAAGCCCACCTCCAGTGGCACACTTCCTCCAATAAGGCCACATCTCCTAATCCTTTCAAATAGTGCCACAGTGGGGAATCCCTCCCAGACCCTGGGTTAGGCACAACCACACCCAAACACCTGTTTTCACAGAGAGATCCTTTATTAAGCAGGGAAGAAAAGTTACAAGTGGCTGCTTTCTGACACAGGCAGAAAAAGAGCAGCAAATGACCTTGCAGGTGTAATTTTTAAGAAGAGAAAAAGGGGAGGTCTTTGTAAGAATGGGCTATGATACAGTGGTATATTTTGATTGGGCGTGTTAATTAGGTGAACCAAAGGCGGCGTTTTGATTGCTGGACTTCAATACTTTGATAGCTGGACCTTGGTTTTCAGCCTCAGGAGGAGGAAGTGGCCAGACCTTGGTGGCTAGCTTTAGGAATGCAATCTAATGGTTTCTAGCAAGGCAGAGGGAATTGGGGAAAGGTAAGGCCTGTCTGAGCCATGTTTGCCACACTCGAGCTGTCCAGAGTCCCTTCACAAATATTCAAATCTATGAGCCTATGGGGGTCATTCTCATTCAAACCACCACACCCGTGTTCCTGTAAGTAACCCCAATAGTTGGACTTTGGTGGTATCTGTACTTTGGTCTGTCATGGGCTCCCTACCTGGGGTGAGTAGTCGCATGTATTGGGTCTGCCCAGGAAAAGTCTGGTCACACAACATGCTGCTAGGATGTGCATGGATGTAGGGCCATCTGCTTGATCATGGGGAGCCTCTCGGGGCAGGATTCTTGACAGAAGCTGACTGTCATCTCCTAGCAACCATCTGTCGCTCCTCAGCTAGGGGTGGAGCTTCGTGCCCACCTCCGTCCTCCACGTTGGAATTGTGTCTAGCTTGCGATTGCCCAGGTCTTACAGCTAGCTGTCCTAACAGCTATGAATTTATATGTGCACCTGTCCTGTTGCATCTCGAAAACAGTTTCACTATCGTTGTCCACCGCCTCTGGCTCTGCCTTTCTGCCCTCTCTTCTGAGATGATACCCAACGATCGCAAGGGGTTGTGTATAATACAGATGTCCCATTTATGGCTGAGCACTCCCCAGTCTCTTATTCCCTCCTTGCCGACCAGTTGTGGTCTCTGTGTTCATCGCCACCTACTGCAAAGAGAAGCTTCTCTGATGAGGGCTGAGACCTGCACAAACCTGGAGGTTTTTAGAAGGCAGTTTGATGCTGTGTCCATTTAGTAGAATAATAGTAATGGGCTCTTCTCTGGGGCCTGTCTACCAAGCCATGGATTCTTGGTTTTGTTAACGGTGCCAGGCATGAGCCCTGTCTTCTAGAGAGGGGCCTTAAATTCAATCAGAAAGTGGTTAACTATTCCCATAACACTCATGCAGTTACTGAACAGTGGGTACATCTTCCCGGACCAGTTATTGTACCTTGCAGGGCTCACAGGTAGATAAGATTATTTTTTCTCCCCTGGCAGGGTACATAGATCTTTCCAGCACTATGAAAGAAGCTAGCCAGTTGGGACAACACTCCTGGCCAGTAGCAGCTTGATTCCCCAGTATTCCATGACTCCAGTATGCAGTGTCTTCAGCAATAGGGCCTCACCGTCTAGTTCTGGAGGGTAACTAAGGGAAATAGCAATAACCTGTAATGTTTAGGGGTCTATGAGACTCCACCAAGCAACAAGTCCAAAAGAGGGAGCCCATCCCCAGCATCGGGCCTCTGACTTGATAGCCTGTGGTATAGCATGAATCTTAAAAGTTCTTATTAATAAAATCAAACCCGGGGCAGTTATTGGGGTGAAATGCTGGATGGTCAGAGAGACAGAACAAGCCACAGCTAACCTCACCTGGCCAACTTCTCAGCTGGTCTTGTTTCCTCAGACTGCAAGCCTCTGTGTCCTCATATCTGAGTGGCTCTCAGCTGAACTGTGCTGCTAGAAGCCTGAAAGCTTTAATCAGCCAAATGCTTCTAGTTTCTGGTCCTCACACCTTATATACCTTTCTGCCTTCTATCATCACTCCCTGGGATTAAAGGCGTGCGCCACCACTGCCCAGCATACAGAGGTCTCCATTCCTTACCACGCTCACTTCTCTGCCCTGCCCTCCCATCCCGCACCTCGCTTAATCTCTCTTGCTCCATTATTTCCTACTTCCCTTCATACCTCCTGTCCTATCTCCCCTTCCCCTGAAATACCCCCTCAGTGCTTTATTACTCTCCTGACTTATGGAGACACTCCAATTTAAATATACATATATAAAGATTCAAGGCTAGCTTCCTTATATGAGGAAGAACATGCAATATTTGTCTTTCTAGGTTGTTCACTTAGGATAACATTTCCCAGTTTCATCCATTTACCTGCAGATATCATAATTTGACTTTTTTTTACAACTGGATAATATTCCATTATGTAAATAAGTGCACCACATATTCATTATCCATTCATAAGTTGATGGACATCTAGGCTGTTTCCATTTCCTGGCTATTGTAGGTAGAGCAGCAATGAGCATGCCCAAGCAGGGATCTTTATAGTGGGGTTTAGAGTCCTTTGGGCATATAGCCAAGAGTGGTTTAGCTGGATGAGGTAGTAAATCTATTTTCAGCTTTTTGAGGGATCTCCACACCAGTTCCCATAGTGGCTGCACGCCCACTAACAGTGAATAATGGCTCCCTTTCCCCACATCTAGGCCACTTGTCTTTTAATTTTATTTTACTTTACCTTATTTTTTTTTTTTTTTTTTGGTTTTTCGAGACAGGGTTTCTCTGTGTAGCTTTGCGCCTTTCCTGGAACTCACTTGGTAGTCCAGGCTGGCCTCGAATACTTTATCTTATTTTTAATCTTAGCCATTCTGACTGGGGCAAGATGAAATCCCAAAGTAGTTTTAATTTGCATTTCTCTGATGGCTAAGGATGTTGAACATTAAAAAAACAATGTTTCTTAGCTGTTTGTCTTCTTTTGAGATTTATGTTTTATTCTGTGCTCCCATTTTTAATTGGATTGTTCATTTTCTTGATATTTAACTCTTGAGTTTCCTCTTTCAGATGTAGATGGTAAAGATTTTTTTTCCCATGTTGCAAACTGTTTCTTCACTCCAACGAGATGTCCTTGGTGGCACAGAGCTTTTTAGTTTCGGGAAGTCCCATTGTTGAGTTGTTGGTCTTAATGTCTGTGCTACTGCATTCCTTCTCAGAAAGTCCTTTCCTGTGCCTGGAAGTTGAGGCTCATTCCTTTCTTC